GAAGTACACTGCTGAGGGGAGCAGCGGGCGGGTCAGGAGAGGTCTGCCACGCCATGTGGTCACCTCCGGGGCAAGCGGGAATGGAATTCATGCGGAAGTGGCTTTAGCTTCTCAGTGCAGTGCTTTAACCCGCTGCGTCACCAGGGAGGGCCATTAAGGGTGATTTTTTAGAAGGGATTATTTTTTCATTGGAGCAGAACCAATAACCCACATTTACCAGATTAAAAAATACACACAATGCCGAACTATTGGGTGAATAATAGTGATAGCATACAAACCATATAAAATACAAATGAATTCAAATTAGAAACATACCTATTAAGAAAGAAATTATAAACTTAGAGTTAATAGCAGTTGATAGAGGCCATTTCTTTTATCATTCAAGCTGAAACAAGGCTCTGAGAGAGCCAAAAATATGTCTGATCCAAAGCAAGTTGGCAGTTTGGCAGTGCAAGTCTTACAAATATCACTCTCATTTTAACAAATATATTTTAGTGCCAGTAGATAGGATCAGTGTCCAGAGAATATAAGGTTGGTAACTCTAGTCTGTGATCTAAAGACTAATTTAAAAATGTACACTTCATTCTGAGAGTTATGCATTCCACATACTGGCAAGTGGTGTAATTGAGGAGTCTTAAGGATTTTGACCATCTTGTAAATCTTCAATCACTTGAAAATTTCAGTAGAATCAAGTATTTTTAATAATCTGCATAGACCTACCAACCTCTATGTTGAGTTACTTTTTTTGAGTTTTACTTATCATTGTACAGATTGTATAATTATACTTCTTATGCACTTAAATGTACTTCAGTAGTGCATCTAAATATTTGGCTATTTAGGGATAGATTTTTGAAAGCTAGAATTATGTACTCAATGTCCTTCTAAAAAGTCTCTAATCATTAGGAGGAAATGGTTTCACAATTGAATAGGGATTTCAGGAGGAATAGATTTGGATAGAAAGAGAGTTCAAGTTTGGACATAGGGAGTTTGTAGTTATGTTATATCTAGCCTCCACTAGCCATCTAGAGCTGGGCCCTTGAAATGCAACTAGTCTTTGAATTGAGACATGTTGTGAGCATAAAATGTATACCAACTTTAGGATATTTTATACAAAATATAAAATATTAATATTTCTGTATTGACTGTATGTTGAAATAACATTTTCAGTCTGTTGACCTAAATAAAATATGTTGTTAGAATTAATTTATCTTGTTTCTTTTCATCATTTTAAAATCTCTTGGTTACTAGGAAATTTGAAATTGTGTATTTTAATAATCATGAATAAATATTAAATATATGTCACCTGATATTTCTGTTCAACAGTACTAATCTACGTAGAGATTTGTAACAAATAGTTAGGATGATAGTTGATATTATGAGATTAGAGAAAAAGTCCTGTGGACAATGTTTAGAAATGAGTTATGTGCAGGCAATTATAGGATAAGGAGAATGAGTAATTAGAAGAATTAGAGAATCAAGATTCTGAAGTGGTACTTAAATCTGATCTGGACAGAACTTCAAGAAGGAAGTTGTAGTTAATATAACTGAATGATAGGCTGAAGAGGAAGACTGAGAAAGACCACTGAATTTGGTTGATACAGAAGCTCTTTCACTGGAGTATAAAAGGGATAGATTACAAGAGATAAAGAAGTGTGAGGTAGAAAAAATAGACTATAAAACTATTCTTCCAGGCAAGTAGTCCACTTGTGAAGGTAATCACTTGACTGGAACAGAATCAAGGAAATTTGAGCATGTTTAAGGACTGAATGAAAGAATCAGTGAAGTAGGAGTTCTTAAAGTTGTAAGAAAGAGATGATGATGTCTGTAGTAATGTCCAAGTGTACTGAGTCCCAAACAGCAGTGCATATTGGAATTGCAGGGGAAATTTGTTATAAGACGAAAATTCCAGATGACATCCCACATAAGAAAAATCATATTTTCTGGAGGTTTGTCTCCTGGGATATGTTACTAACATATTCTTCTGAGTATTAGCTAGATCCATAAATACAAACAAGAATATTAATGGTACTGGTAAGGACGGCAGTGAAAAGGCTGATATGGCATTCAGAATGCATAGAGCTCATGATACTAACAGTAGGATTGGCAGACCGTGAGCTATAGTTAAGGAACAGGCTTTCATTATTAGAAGTGTAAGCATAGATTCAGTAGGAATAAAAGACTGAGAAGCTAAAATGGTAGTGTGTTTTGATTAAAGAGGTAGGTTTCAGAATTCAGGATCTTGGAGGCTAAAGAGGTAAAAATAGCATTCTGTGTTTGATGTGTAAAAGTGGTAAATTAAGTCATACATATTGGAAGACCTATAGTTTCATGACTCTTCCACAAGACAGTAGTTTTTTTAAATATGAGGTCTGGGTATCAGGAGGAAGCACTAAAGGTTAAATCAGTGTGGAATTATTTGGATTTAAGATTCCAATCAATCTTGATTTGGATGTCTTTAAAGACTTTCCAAAATGGAGTGTTTGCTTGCGCTACTAGGTCTTTAATCCTCTCTAGCTTTGTAGCAAGCAAGCAAATAGATTATGCATACAAAATGTGTAGTTTTTCATTATTCACAAGTGACCATGAGGATTTATGACATGGGTAGTTAGTAACTTTTTCCAGGGCACAGAGTGTAATCTCTTGCCCTCAAGCTGCCTTGTAAAACTAGTCACTTAGCTAGTGACTTGTAGTGAAGTCAACATTCATGTTTCAGTTTGTCTTTAATATATGATTGTGTTTATCATCAGAATACTTCAGCATGGTAGGTTTCATAGAGGAGGATATTATTTGCCAAACTGTGATAGGTTTAAAAATTGAGTTTTAAAATTAAATGAGTTAAATTTAAGCACTGTACCTGGCTGGCATATAATAATTGCTTATTAAGTGGTAGTTACTAGTGCCAGTTCAAGAAGTCAACAAGTTTTTAAGCCAGATTTTTCTGTGTATGCCCAGGTTTAGTGAATAATATTTACATTAAAAATACTGTTTTGATTCAGAATCTTTGTGTATTATTAACCGAAAACTAGAATTAATTTGCAACTAGAGGAAAATGTGTCATTGATCACTTAACCAACTTACTTTTGATATACTTAAAAAGGGGTATATTTTATAGTAACTCATGTTATATTACTATTATGAGAAATTACAACTTTGTAAATGTTTCCTTACACAGATACATATACACAGAAACAAAAATTAATTGCGTCACACACTTTGTTTTTCATAGAGGTATATAGTGTGCCTAAAAACCAACAATTCTGTGTTTTGCTGAAAAACTCATTATACTATATAATCATAGAACTGTTTTTTTTTTTGTTTTATAGTGAAGAACTCCGAAAAGAAGCAAGACAATTAAAGAGGGAACTCTTAGCAGCAAAACAAAAAAAAGTAGAAAATGAAGCAAAACAAGCAGAAAAAAGAAGTGAGGGTAAGTGCACGTGTCATGTTTTTATATTTACTTTGAATTTCTTCCCTCCCTCACCTCTTTCTTCCTTCTTTTCTCCTTCTTCCTCCCTCCTTTGTGAGTTGATTTTTGCCTTTTTAAAAACTATTTTTTGACAGTTTACCACTGAAATAACTTTCCACCAAGGACTTACATATGAGAAATATTCAATGCAAACAGGATAATACATTCCTAAAAAGGCTTAGTAAGAACTAACAGAGTACTTGACATCAGACAAAACTTAAAGATTGCCAGAGCACAGATCTAGAAGTACGTAAGAATGCGATATTCGTTTTTCATATTGCATAACTTTAAAGCATTTAAGTAAAGTGTTTATGCCCTGCTCTTGTGACTTGTGTAAGCATTTGTGCATTGAACTAACGAGTATTAAATATAAACTCTCATTTTTGTTTTGCTTTTTCTCTAATGCTAAGACACAGAAAATGTAAAATATCGATAAAGTTGATTAAAACAGTACACACTTATACAGGTTAAATATTTGGAACCCCCAAATCTTTTTTTTTTTCTACAATAATAAATTACATTGTAGGTTGAGTAAAGTATACTAAATTGTATTTAATGAGTTTGTGTTGCACATTATCTAGATTCACTTGCTTTTGTAAGCCATGAAATATTTTTGTCCACTAGCTTATATAACAGTCGCTGGAGATACATCACAGAATAAAATAGAACATCTAGCCTTAAAAAATACATATTCTAATACATAATAGCACTGGTTTTGATGGGGCACAAGTAATACCATGTAGCTGTATAAAGGACACATAGTTCTTAGTTATATGCAACATGGTCCCTTTGAGTTACAGTAAAGGAAGGACTTGAAAGATTCAAAATTATTACATCTGTTTGAATGAAACTATTGAGGTGATAGTTCCTCAGCCTTTTATTATCTTTCATACTCTTGACAGTTTGAAGAGTCCAGTTAGATATTTTGTAGAATATCACAATTTGAATTTGTCTACGGTTTTCTCATGATTATACTAAGATCATGCTATGTTTTTTACACAAGAAGTGAGATGCCATCCTCTGTACATTATATCGAAGTAACAAGGTGTTAACATCTTTTATTGATAATAAAACCTTGGTTCAAGTGGTATCTCTAAACTGCTACACTTAAAAGTTACTCTTTTATCTTGAGATTGTAATTATTTCAGGTAAGGTACTTTGGGAATATTAAAATATCCTTTCTTTTTTAAAAATTAATTTTCTAACATCTTGTTAATTTTGGATGGTATTTGACTTCTCTCCTTGGGTGTGGTCCCCACAGTTCTCCTACTACGATAGCACCTGTGGTGCATTTCTCTGTTCCTTATGCACTTTCCTCCCCTATCTGGACATCTTTCCCTCCTCCCTCCTTCTGGATGCCTCAGATCTATGGTTACCTTAAAAGTTTTGTCTTTTTCCTAAAACTTTGTTCAGTCTCTCTATATTCCACATGTAAGTAAAACCATCGATATAAAATATGCTTTCTCTTCAAGTCTTCATCTTACCTGGAGACAACAGTTAGTGTTAGAGTGGTACTTCCCTACTCCCAGACTTCTTACTACTTCTATTACTTAGAATTCTTCTTATAGAAAGAGCCTGTTACTCTGTTATTTATTGTTATCAACATGGGCTATGTGTTATAGTCCCAAACTGTCATTATTTATTTTAGTATCCAGACAGGTTTGGCCATTTTGGCTTTTCCATGTCCACTGCTGTATCCTTTCAACTTGCCCCCATCCTTTGAATGCTTTACTTTTTGGCAAGGATACTGCAGGTTGATGTGTTTTTTTCTTCTCTAGACCTTGAATCATCCACTTTTCCACAGAACTTTGGTTCCTCTTATTGGAGCATTTATTTACAAACCAAAATCTGGGCACTAAGTCTGCCTCATAATTTTGATGGTCATATTTTTAAAGTGGTATTCGGTGCACTTATTACTATCATCTTAGAATACTTAACAAAATTCACTGATTTGTGTATTTCAGTGAATGTTATACTGCATTGAAATTTTTAGCTCCCATGCTGTTTTTAAGCGTAGTAGCCCTTCTTACCCCATGAGTAAAAGTGATACCGTGAATAATATCACTGTTTAGTGTTATGGAAACAAAGAATTTTAGGCATCCTTAATTGTGTGTTAGACCTTAACCTGTCTTACCCGCTGTTTTTTCCAAGGTTAGAACTACATAAACTCTGGGAACAGATCCAGAGGTTCCATGCATTTGCATAGTAAAGTCACCACATGAAAACAAGTTACACACTGTAGCTTAACATTGGCTATATTACCTACATGCATCAGTTGAGCTGAATACCTTCCTGAGCCTTTTCAGGAAAGATTTCTTGATTGGGCTATATGACTCCATATCTGGGTTTCATAGAGCATTCTTTTTCATTCCAAGACTGAATTATCTGAGTATTGTATCTGGATGATTTAGTCTTTTGAACATTGTATGCCATATAGCAAGTGATTTAATTTGCCAGTGAGCACATAATAGATACTAAAAAGAACCTTTGAGTATCTTCATGTTTAGTAAATTGTTTGTGTAATAGTCTTGTCTTCCATATTCATTTCTATCTGATTGTGAGTATCATACCAACTAATACAGAAAGAATAAAAAATACATTAATTTTGGGAATTTTTATAGTAATTTTTAACAGTAAGACTAGGTGCTTGTTGTTATATGTAACACTTTGCTATAAGAGTGCTTTCAAGTAGTATATCTTCCCAAAAGCAAAAGGAAAATGTTAAGACTTAATTCCAGTTATTAACAGTGAAATTACTTGTCTGTGACTCAGTTATCTTATCACAACTCCAGGGCTATATTGCCTGTGCACTCCTCATAGCCCTTATTTGTAATGATAATGAGAACATTTAGTAAATTTACAATACTCTACAAAAATAATAATTTTAGATTTGTAAAGAGAAAAGCTATCTGTGGCTCCATTCTGTTTCCTATCCAAATCCTAGAATTCGTAAATAATAATTTTAATACTGTTTTGTGTTAGTTTTAGATAAAGCCTATAATCAGTACAGCTGTACATGAGTAGTACATAATTAAAATTAAAAAAAAATTACCTTTTTTTTTCACAGTTGCATGGACTCATTTACTTTGTTAAAAAGTATATGTAAAAATTTTTTTAATTGGATCACTTTTTATTTGCAGTGCCATTGGTTTACCTAATCTGTGTGTAAATCTAATAATATTATTTCCTGGTTTTACTGATTCATCTGGCAAGTCCAAAATTGCCAACTAGTTACCACTTCATCGCGGAATTTACTGCATTATCACTTGGATTAAAAGTACTTAGTAAAAATACCTTAAGAACAAGAAAGCTTTGTACTCTAATGTGCTTGTGTTAGTATAGCTATATTTTCCCATCTTGTGTGAATGGAAGTCTATCATATACTTAGCTCTGATAGGTTTTTCTTTAGGGCTTCTGTCATCTTAGGAAATCACCTATAATCAAAGAATAGTATTCCTATGGTTTTAATCATATTTACCCAGTTTTCTGGGCTAGATCCTTAGCTAAATTTATATATACAAATAGAAAGTTTTATTCCAACAGTCTGTCTACTTCCAGATCTGTTTTGTACCATGAGTAAGTTACTTTAAAATCAGGACCCACCTATTTTTCCATACATAAGATTAAAGATAAAATAAGATAGCTTTTCCTGTTTGTTAATATTTATTTCCTTTGCTCTATTAATTCCTTCAGGTGCATTTTAACAGCAAATTAAATAATTAGTTCAAAAGAAAGAAAAATCTGTTTCTTTTACATCAGTAAATTTGGGCCCCACACATTTAAACATTCCTAAATACAGTGTCATTTGATATTACTGATGGTGATACTGCCATGGGTGTATAACACTGCCAATGTGCAGCTCTTTTATATAACAATCATGATTCAACAAAGTTGTCCCCCCAAAAGGAATTAACCTATGACCCCAAAACTTCTGAACACCTGCCATAACAAGAAAACCCACATTTAAAATTGACATGTTATTTTAATTATCAATGTAGAAAAAAGCTTCTCTGTGGTAAAATATGTTTGGGACCATCCATTTTTTTCTCAAATCCTTCTAGTAAAGATCAAAATCTACTATTCCTTATACCACAGGATATTATTAGATAGAAGATAAAATGATATATTTATATAAGAAAGAATGTATTACATAAATATAACTTCATAATTCTTGCCATCGCTTTGCAATCTTGTTTACTTTTCAGACTTCAGGTAACACATAAAAGAACGCTTCAGTAAATCAAAGAGAAGGTCAAAGAATAAGACTATTATTATAGCTATATTATTAATTTTTTATAATAGCATGAAATTTAACTCAAACAGTTACATTTTTTAGTTTAATGCAGAATCTCCATGTAGTAGAGAATTAGGTAAACAAGGAATGTGGTGTTTTACTTTACATACCAGCAGTGTCAAATGAGATGTACTGCAGGACACGCCTGTTTACAGCTAGGGAGTCTCTCTAGTCCCACTGTAAATCTTCCAGACCTGTGTATAGCAATTTTTTGGGGGGGAGGGGGGTAATAAATTTTGCTAAGATTGATAGTTAATTAGAGGTAGAGTTGGTTTCCTGTGTTGGCTCTGTCAAGTTCTTTAATAAACTATATAATCCTTTTGTTAAATTATGTTTCTAAGTTCTTTCCAGGTCTCTTTAAGTTTCATCATATCAAAACTAGTACCAAACCGAACATAGTCCCACAGAGATACAGGTTTGGACCTATTCTTTAATGAGCTTCAGGGAGATAAGGTGTCAGATCTTCTTTTCAAAGTTCTAAGCATACAATACCTGCTCTATGACTAGTGCCAGAAATTAGAGGAGAAAGGGCAATCTGAGCTTGTACATCAGGAAAGAATTTTAAAGCCTCTTCATGAAACACATCCCTAAGGTGCTTAGTTCCTCTCAAATTGCACCGGGCCATTTCAAGTTAAGTCAAACTATCTTTTTTAATACTGGATTAACT